TTAAAAAAAAAAAAAATTCATCTTGTGCCCAGGCCTAGGGGCTCATAAAAGATACAGGAAAAAAGGATGAATTCAAAAAAAAGGAAGTTACCTGACCAGAGTTCCCGCCAGGTGTAATGCAGGCGTATTCTACACTTCTTTTGGTAGCAAAGTAGTTTATGTACTACCTGAATGCAGCGTCTGTAACAGAGAAAGAGAAAAACTGGGGTAAGCCTAGCTCAGATACCCTTCCTTTTCAATTAAATTTATTGGGGTGACATTTGTTTATAATATTATATAAGCTTCAAGTATACAATTCTATGTAATACATCATCAGTATATTGCATTGTGTGCTCAACCAAAATCTAGTGTCCTTCTATTTGACCTCCTTTACCCTCTTTATTAGTCCCCCACCCTCTCCCCGTCTAGTAACCACCATACTGTTGTCTGTGTCTATGAGTTTGTTTGTTCTTGCTTTTTGTTTTATATTCTTCCATGGATGATTGGATACAGACACCCTTTCTTTAGTGAGGCAGCTTTGCTAAGGCCACTAAAGACACTGGATATGATTGTACACATGCAAAAGAAAGGAACTTCTAGTTGCAGCTTTCTGGTAGATAAATCCCCCTCCCCATGCACACACACTGCCTGTGCTAATTCCCCTTATTAATAGGAAAATGGGGCTATAGTCAATTAGGAACTACTAATACCATTCCCTTGAGTATCTTTCCTTGGAGGAAGGATGCACCAGTGGACCAGAATTAGTCTACTCCATTCAAAGCCTAGTGGCTACCACACTAGTCAGCATAGATATATAGAACTTTTCTACCAGCACAAAAAATTCTGTTGGACAGTGCTGTTCTAGATCATTGGAATATTCAACAGTATTCACATCCCAACAACATACTTGTTTCTGAGAGTATTTCCAAATAAGCAGTTAGTAGGTTAAGATGAAAAACATTTTTAAACATGATAAACCTAACAAAAAATGTTTTTTCATCTCTGACTGAGGGAGGGCTTTGAAAGCTTAAAAAGCCATATATGATAGTAAAAACAAAAACACTAAGGAAATTTACCTCCTAAAAATGAAAATCTCATTTGATTAAAAAAAAAGTTTAATAATTAAAATTAAAAGCCAAACACTATGGGAAATTACATTTGCAGCAAATGACATGAAAGGTTACTATGCTTAATATACAGAGGGTGCCCAAAAAATGTATACACATTTTAAGAAAGGAAAAAACTGTATTAAAATTGTAGTACTCAGTATATACTGATAACAAAATATGAATACAAGTCATGTGTATACGTTTTTTTGGCACCCCTGGTATATAAGTTTAAACAAATTGATAAAGAAAAAATAATAACGCCCCTAATAATAAAAGATGGGCAAAGGAAATGGTCAACAAATTCCCCCACCTCCCTAAAACAGGTGAAATATCAAATGTTAACATTTTTCTACAATGTTCAACTTCACTTTAAAACAAAAAGGCATACTGAAACAAGATTCTGTTTTTGCGTATCAAACTAATATAGATTTTAATGTTGACAAAGGTGTAGCAAAACAGCCACTCATACATTATTAGAGAAAGTATAATTGATACAGAGCTCTTTAGGAGGCAATTTGACAATCTCTATCAATAGTCTTAATAATGCTTATATCCTTTGACCCACTAACACCACCTCCAGAGGATTTAGCTTTAAGCCACAACACACACACACACACACACACACACACAAAAGCTTTCTAAAAATATATGTTCATCATAATCTTATTTATAATACAAGAACATTGGAAACAACAGTGAAAAGAATGTCCAATGCTGAGAATAGCAAGTAAATCATTACATGTATGTTATGTACCAAATTATGTCCCTCCAAAATTCATGTTGAAGCTCTAACCCCCAATGTAACTCTTTGGAAATAAGGCCTTTAAGAAGGTAATCAGAATTAAATGAGGTCAAATAGGTGGGACCCTCATCCACTAGGACTGGTTTCCTTAAAAGAAGAGAAAAGAGCAGCAGGAACACTTCCACAAACAAGAAAGGCCATACTGAGGACACAGTGAGAAGACAGCCATGTATAAGCTAAGGAGAGAGACCTCTGGAGAAACCAAAGGTGTTGGCACCTTGATCTTGGACTTCCAGCCTCCAGAACTGTGAGAAAATAAATTTCTGTTGTTCACACCACCCAATCTGTGGTTTTTTATTATGGCAGCCCAAGCGGACTAATACACATACATATAATGGAACCCCATGAAACTCTTAAAAAGTACATTCATGAAGAACTTTTTACAACACAAAAAGATATTTATGTTAAAGTAATAAAACAACATGCAAAAGTATATACAAGTAAATATATGATAATGGTCACAACTACATTCAAATCCATAGAAAAAAGTTAATTTTGGTGTTTACAGTGGTTGCCTTTTTGGGTGGTAGGATAGGTGAATTCTTTTCATTCTCTTTTTGTTTTCTCCAAATGTTTTACAAGTACATTTTACTTTTACAGCTAAGAAATCCACCAATTAAAACAAATTCATTGTTTTAAAAACATTAACATCCTCTAGAAAAGGGCACAAAGGAACTTCTTAGAGAATAGAAATGTTTTCTATCTTGACTGGAATAGTTGTTACAAGGATGTATGTATGCATTTGTCAAAACTCCTCAAAATGCTCATCCCACTGCAATTCTGTTTATAAGTCCTTGACAATGGGGGTCTAAAACACAACAGACAGATCATGAGAGAATAACATGGAGAGAACTAGTAAATTAATCTGTGAACCAAGAATCTAAATTCTCAAGGTTTTACACTGTAATTTCCTAAAACAAGTTAATGTCCCTTCTTCTTTTGTCAAAAGGGGGGGGCGGATAATCCAAGGAAAAACAAAAACCCTGGCTGTGGTGAGGATGTACAGAAATTGATGCCCTGGTGGAAATGTAAAATTGTACAACCACTTTGGGAAACATTTAGAAGTTCCTCAAAATGTTAAACATAGAGTTACTACATGACCCACCAATTCCACTACTAGGTATAAATACAAGAAAAAAGAAACATACATCCACACAAAAACTTGTACATGAATGTTCATAGCAGCATTATTCATAATCGCCAAAGACGTAAAAAATGTGTATCAACTGATGAATGGATAAATAAAATGATGTCCTACATTCATACAATGGAATATTAATTAGCTATAAAAGGCAATGAAGTGCTAATACAAACTACAACATGGATGAAACCTGAAAACGTTATGCTATGTAAGTCAGTCACAAGTCACATATTATATAATCTCATTTATTCAGAATAGGCAAAAATATACAGAAAGTAGATTGAAAGAGGGTGGGGGATGGAAACGGAGCCCCGGAGCTTGGACTGTACCCCTCTGAAGTTCCAAGCTCATCACACAAACCAAAAATTCAGAAGAAAATCTCAGACCTATCTTTTCATTCATTTATTCAACAAATACTGACTGCACACCAACTAAATATCTAGCATTTGAGTCTTCCTAGAACTAAGTTGTCACGTTCCTGGAAACTGGATCCAGATAACCTGCTTTAGTTTAGTTTCAGGCAAATGAAAGAGGCTCTTCCTCTTGAATCCGTTCTGACATAAAAGAATGAGGCAGCGAAAACAGAAATAGAAGAAACAAAATAAAGAAGGCAAATGGGCATAGCAAAAAGTGGCTCCTCTCTACCTAATAGGCCCAGTTGCAATTCAGTTAAACGACAGCTTCAAGTAAAGAACACTTCTAGAGGTGGGGCTGAGGCTTTCTCAGGTTCTACAGCTTGAATCTGAGACACAGAGTATCCTGAGATCCTACTAACTTCAGCAGACACCATTATCAATTTGACAGTTCATGGAATCAAGCATAAATAGGAGTAGTTAATTTCTTGGGCCTCTTATAGCAGAGGTGAAAAGAAGAAAGGGGAGGGTGGGGGGGAGGGACACGCTACAAACCTCCCTCTGTGGAGTGAGAGCCAAAGACACTAGCTAGAGAAATTAAAGTGCTTGACAACATATCAAAGACACAAATGAAGTGAACTACACTGGTTAAGTTAAAATCCTGAAGTTTTTGGGCCGGCCGAGTG